ATAAGAAAGATTCTACAACAAACACAGCCTTGCACAAAACCCACTGCAACGTTACACAAAAAATACTACTGCAAGGACATCTGCCCAGCAACTGCATGTCCAGTCTTGGACTGTGTCACCTTTGTTATTAACCTTCCTAGGCAAGAACAATTGTTTCAAAACAATTCTGCAATCCTCCTCATTTCTTCCTTTAGAACTCTTTGCCTGCCTGTACCTCCCTGAATACATGCAGTTTCCGATGGCATTTGCATCCCCATAGCAGTGTACGTGCTGTTCCCAAACAAACATCTTTTCTTTCAGAGAGTCTCGCTATGGTATTCAGGTTGACAATGGCATGGACCAGGGCAGCAGCAGTGAAGATGGTAAGAAGTGATTGGAAACTAAATTTATTCTTAAAGTGGAACACACAGGGTTTGCGGACAGATTGGACATGGGTTGTATAAAAAGAAGTAGAGGCCGGGCGCGGTGGCTCAAGCCTGAAATCCCAGCACTTTGGGAGGCTGAGGCAGGTGGATCATGAGGTCAAGAGATCGAGACCATCCTGGTCAACATGGTGAAACCCCGTCTCTAATAAAAATACAAAAAATTAGCTGGGCATCGTGGCGTGTGCCTGTAATCCCAGCTACTCAGGAGGCTGAGGCAGGAGAATTGCCTGAACCCAGGAGGCGGAGGTTGCGGTGAGCCGAGATAGCGCCACTGCACTCCAGCCTGGGTAACGAGCGAAACTCCGTCTCAAAAAAAAAATTAGATCCCTTACGGAGAAAAGTGAGTGTAGATAAAGGCACAGTCTCAAGGACTGTGCCCTGAAACACACTCCTGTCTTTGGAGGTCAAGAGGATTAAACCAGCAAATGACAGTAAGGAGAATGAGCCTCAGTAAAGCAGAAAAAGAACCAAGAGAATGGCATACCTCAAGTTACATAAAGAAAGTATTTCAAGCCTGGCACGGTAGCTAGCTCACGCCTACAATCCCAGCACTTAGAGAGGCCGAGGCAGGTGAAGTACTTGAGGTCGGGAGTTCCGAGACCAGCGTGGCAAACATGGTAAAACCCTGTCTCTACTAAAAATACAAAATTAGCCAGGCATGGTGGTGGCGCCTGTAATCCCAACACTTTGGGAGGCTGAGGCCGAAGAATGGCTTGAACCTGAGAGGCGGAGATTACAGCGAGCTGAGATCACACCACTCCACTTCAGCACGAGCAAAGAGCGAAACTCCACTAAAAAAAAAAAAGGTCAGGCACAGTAGCTCATACCTGCAATCTCAAGACTTTGAAAGGCCAAGGCAGGCAGATCACGAGGTCAAGAGATCCAGAATATCCTGCCCAACATGGTAAAACCCCGTCTCTACTAAAAATACAAAAATTAGCTGGGCTGGTGGTACGCACTTGTAGTCCCAGCTACTCAGGAGGAGGCTGAGGTGGAAGAATCATTTGAACTGGGAGGTGGAGGCTGCAGCAAGCCAAGATCGCACCACTACCCTCCAGCCTGGTGTGAGAGTGAGACTCCATCTCAAATTTAAAAAAAAAAGGGTGGTCATACAGCTAAAAAGCCAGCCAAGTTAAGACAAAGACTGAGAATCGATTAGCAACATGGAATTCACTGGGGCATGTATGGGAATGCAAGCCTCCCTGGAGTGGTTCCAGATAAACCGTAGAGAAATTGCAGATAATAAGGACAGGGCATGGTGGTGCACACCTGTAGTCCCAGCTACTCAGGAGACAGGAGAATCGCTTGAACCGGGGAGGCAGAGGTTGCAGTGAGCCAAGATCGCACCACTGCACTCCAGAATGAGATTCTATCTCAAAAAAAAAAAAAAAAGAACAAGCACAGATAATACATTGAAAAAGTTTTACTATAAAATACAGTACAAAATTGGGGTGGTAGAGGGGAATGTGGGGCCAAAAAGTAACATGGCCTTGACCCATGCAGCACACAGCATTCCATGAGAAATAACAATTAGCAAACACTATATCCTCAGCCTGGGAAACATGGCCAGACCCCATTTCCACAAAAACATTTTTAAAAAGTAGCTGGGTTAGCTGGGCGTGATGGCAGGTGCCTGTAATGCCAGCTACTCTGGAGGCTGAGGCAATAGAATAGCTTGAACCCGAGAGGGGGAGACTGCAAGCCGAGACCGCACCACTGCACTCCAGCTTGGGCAACAGAGGGAGACTTCGTCTCAAAAAACAAAGCAAAAAAAAGCTAGCCAGGCATGGTGGCATACACTTGTAGTCCCAGCTACTAGAGAGGCTGGTGGGAAGATCGCTTGAGCCCAGGAGGTCAAGGCCACAGGTCAAGGCTGTTCACAAAATAAAAAAAACTACACACCAGCTTCCCCATCATTCTGTCCTAACTATGAACAGAAAACCACAGATCAGGGCACGCTGGCTCATCACTGTAATATCAACACTTTGGGAGGCCAAGGTGGGTGGATCCCTTGAGGTCAGGTGTTCAAGACCAGCCTGACCAACATGGTGAAACCCCGTCTCTACCAAAGTTATGATGGCACACACCTGTAATCACAGCTGCTTGGGAGGCTGAGATAGGAGAATCACTTGAACCCAGGAGGTGGAGGCTGTAGTGAACAAAGATCATGCCACTGTACTCTAGCCTGGGCAACAGAGCAAGATTTGATCTCAAAAAATAAATAAATAATGGCCGGGCGCGGTGGCTCAAGCCTGTAATCCTAGCACTTTGGGAGGCCGAGGCGGGTGGATCACAAGGTCGAGAGATCGAGACCAACCTGGTCAACATGGTGAAACCCTGTCTCTACTAAAAATACAAAAAAATTGACTGGTGGCGCATGCCTGTAATCCCAGCTACTGAGGAGGCTGAGACAGGAGAATTGCCTGAGCCCAGGAGGTAGAGGTTGTGGTAAGCCGAGATTGCGCCATTGCACTCCAGTCTGGGTAACAAGAGCGAAACTCCGTCTCAAAAATAAAAAAAAGAGGCTCTGAATAAGATCTTTTATCAGTAACATAAAAAGGACTTTGCTTTGGCTGCTCAGATACCTTTTTGCTTTTTTTCAGGTTTCCCACCTGCATTGCTTAAGGCTTAACTTAAGCGACCTTCCACTGTAAAACAAACTATCTGTACTGAAGTGGTGAAAATCTAAGAAGTACTATTCTGTGCAACTTCCACAAGAGGGCAGTAGAACCCTCTGCAGTAGTCGGCAAAAATAATAGACCATGATATTTTCTCTAATTTATTTTCATTCTAGCCTTCCTTAAAATCTTTTCGTAGAAAGCACCAAATAACTGTGACCTGGCCAGGCTTGGTGGCTTATGCCTGTAATCTCAGCACTTTGAGGGCCAAGGTGGGTGAGTATCTTTAAGCCAGTTAAAGACGGGCCTGGACAAGATAGCAAGATCTCATCTCTACAAAAAAATAAATAAATTTTATTTTTTTAAGTAGCTGTGACCTTTGTAACACAGAAACAGGTGTGCACCGCTGGGGATGGTGGCTCATGACTGTACTCTCAACACTGGGAGGCTGAGGTGGGCAGACTGCTTGAGTCCAAGAGTTTAAGACCAGCCTGGGCAACATGCCAAAACCCCATCTCTACAAAAAATACAAAATTCAGCCAGGCATGGCGGCATGCACCTATAGTCCCAGATACTCAGAAGGCTGAGGTGGGGAAATGCCTTGAGCCCAGGAGGCAGACGTTGCAGTAAGCCAAGATAGCACAACGGCAGTCTAGCCTGGGCAACAGAGCAAAATCCTATCTCAAAAACAAAGGAGAAATAAAAGTATATATTGGATGACCTCACTCAATCCTCACAGTGACCCTGAGATAACCATACTATTGTCATTTGCAATTTGCCATTTGACAGATAACCAACTGAGGCTTAGATGGCACCACAGCACTCCAGCCAGGGCAGCAGAGGCACAGACCCTGTCCCCGCAAAACAGAGAGAATGGGAGGCATCTTTCAACTAGGTATCTGCTGTGTGTATCTACTTTAGTGTCTGCTTTTAGCACTATTAAAAATCAAAACAGGCCGGGCGCGGTGGCTCAAGCCTGTAATCCCAGCACTTTGGGAGGCTGAGGCGGGTGGATCACGAGGTCAAGAGATCGAGACCATCCTGGTCAACATAGTGAAACCCCGTCTCTACTAAAAATACAAAACAGTCGGCATAGTGGTGCATGCCTGTAATCCCAGCTACTCAGGAGGTTGAGGCAGGAGAATTGCCTAAACCCAGGAGGCGGAGGTTGCGGTGAGCCGAGATCGCGCCATTGCACTCCAGCCTGGGTAACAAAAGCGAAACTCCATCTCACAAAAAAAAAAAAAAAAAAAAAATCAAAACAAGTTTCATTACATATATGAGTGACATGAGGCCAGGCACAGTGGCTCACACCTGTAATCCCAGCACTTTTGAAGACCAAGGCAGGAGGATCACCTGATCCCAGGAGTTCAAGACCAGCCTAGTCAACATGGCGAAACCTGGTCTCTATTAAAAATACAAAAATTAGCCAGCAGTGGTAGCAGGCACCTATAATCTCAGCTACTCGAGAGGCCGAGGCAGGAAAATCACCTGAACCCAGGAGGTGGAGGCTGTGCCACTGCACTCCAGCCTGAGTGACAAGAGTGAAACTCTGTCTCAAAAACAGTAGTAACGATAAAAAGTAAACATAGATGTGTGATGTGAAAGTCGGGCCCACGTTGGAACTATTGGTGCATTCTTTTTTCCCTATTCCCTACTCCCATACCCATGGGGATCAATAAGGGACACACAACTTTCTCTATCCTGCTGAGGCAGAAGCAAGCTTCAGAACAAAGACCCCTCAAGAGAGTGACCACCAGACAGTGCCAATCAGCTGTAACTGTGCATAGGAGATAAAGCCCACCTACCATCACAGGAAGGAAAAATATTTGAGGGAAAAGGTCGAGAGAAAAACTAAAGGTTAGATGACCAATTCAGTTCACTTCTAAAGGACACGTTTCAGGGATTTTTTAAAATGTCAGGAAACCAAAGGAAAAGCATCATATAAAGTTCTTACCTTTGCTGTACCAGTCTGAGATCCATAGAAAATTTTCACTCCAGACACAAAGATGTCTTTCTTGTGAAGGGATACAAAACCATTTGTCATCAAATCCTGAGTTGCTTTTGGAAAAGAGTTTTCCTGTAAGTTCCTGTCCTTGAAGACAAATAATTACACAAAATCCATCAAGTCTGAATCGTTTCCCAACTTCAGTAGGGATGATAATTAGCACAGAAACTAACACACTTTATTTTTCTCTTAATCTTTCTGGTTGTACTCCTTCAATATTAGCCCCATATAATAAGGTCCTTTACTAGGCAGGATTCACTTTTTTTTTTTTCACATTCCACATTTTATTTACATTTTAAGACTAACTTTAATCTCAAAATCACATATCCATATACCTATTTCCTTTTTGTTGACTTCACTTAAATGCATAGTTTGTTAAACAAAGACTGTAAACAAATATTTACCATGTCTTACATGTAACACACAAAAACAGCTTTTAACAGAAATTCATCAACTCCCCCCAACATTTTTTATTAAAAATACAGGTATCAAAACAATCCTGAATATATTTTTGATACTACTAGTCAGAACTCACACGACTTCCAAAATTAACACATTTGTGACACTATTCATTTTACCTGCTACTTTTTTTTTTTTTTTCTTTTTTTGAGACTGAGTTTTGCTCGTTACCCAGGCTGGAGTGCAACAGGGCGATCTCGGCTCACCGCAACCTTCGAATCCTGGGTTCAGGCAATTCTCCTGCCTCAGCCTCCTGAGTAGCTGGGATTACAGGCACGCGCCACCATGCCCAGCTAATTTTTTGTATTTTTAGTAGAGACGGGGTTTCACCATGTTGACCAGGATGGTCTCGATCTCTCGACCTCTGATCCACCCGCCTCGGCCTCCCAAAGTGCTGGGATTACAGGCTTGAGACACAGCGCCCGGCCTTTTCTACCTGCTACTTTTTAAACAATTTCAACTGCAGCTCTTTTACTAAGCAAGATGGTTAAAGCATGCCATTTCTGTTTTCTTTCTTGAGATTACTTTTTAGAAACACACATGCTTCCACTGTCATCTGACACTTCTCCACACGCTTTCATCTTGTGAACGTGAATTTTATTTCGAGTACTCCAGGTTTATGTTTAAATGACGGTGCCTTAACAAGAGAAAAAAAAAAAAAAAGAGAGAAAAAAAAATCGTGCTGCATTTTTCTTCCTGTTACCTGAAAACACAATGGGTGTACATATATTAAAGATATTCTTAGGCCGGGCGCGGTGGCTCAAGCCTGTAATCCCAGCACTTTGGGAGGCCGAGGCGGGTGGATCACAAGGTCAAGAGATGGAGACCATCCTGGTCAACATGGTGAAACCCCGTCTCTAATAAAAATACAAAAAATTAGCTGGGCATGGTTGTGCGTGCCTGTAATCCCAGCTACTCAGGAGGTTGAGGCAGGAGAATTGCCCGAACCCAGGAGGCGGAGGTTGTGGTGAGCCGAGATCGCGCCATTGCACTCCAGCCTGGGTAACGAGAGTGAAACTCCGTCCCAAAAAAAAAAAAAAAGATATAAAAAGATATTCTTACAAATGTCCAGGTCATATTTACCAGCTGGAATTCTTTTACTTAATGTGTGGGTATTTTGAATTGTGGTATTTAATCAAGACATTACCATGAGTAGAAGGATGCTGATTTAAGACAAGTTTGAGAGCCACTAAAATTAACTGTTGTATGTTTGTCCTTCTGGTGGCTGTGGAAGCTTCATGTTTTCTTTGGCCATCATCAGACGTCTTAGCTCTTGAAGCACAACTTTTTTTTTTTTTTTTTTTTTGACTCCCAAATCTCTTTTATTGAAGGGAATGGGCCTCTTCCGGGTCCTCACTGCACGGCTTGTTCATTGGCACTGCTTCCCGAGTCCTGGGGCTTCATCACATCGGGCAACTCGGGCGGGCTGGAGCATGGCTCGATGCACAGGGCCTCAAAGGCGTCCTCTGCACGGAAGGCCAGCCGCACTGTGGCTGGGGCCTGTGGCCGTGCTGTTGGACTGGTGAAGCCACACTCGCCCAGGGTCTTGCCATCATCCAAGAGTTGGTCATCCTTGTACAGCCGCTGCTCGTCGGGCGGCCGCTTGAGGATGCCGTCGACGATGCGCTTCAGCCCGAACACCGCGCTGGACGCCTTGGCGTCCGCGAAGATGGTGGTCTGGTGGCGCCGGATCACGAGGAACACGTCCTGGGGGCGGCGGGCCGGCGTGAGGGCGAAGCCCCGGCCCCTGACGCGGCCCGGCTCTTGAAGCACAACTGTAATGCTACATGAATCACGCCATTTTGCTAACAATGGTATGCTCCGGGCATCTACCATCCACGGAATTATTTACTCCATTCACATTAATTTTTGTTACAAATCTAACTGACGGAGGAGCTTCTGGGTATTCAGGTCCCCATTCTACTCTCAGGTTATATACTCTGTCTTCATAGTTTGTCCTTGGCGGCCCAACAGTCATGCCTGTCACCGTGTCACAGCTTCATCACCTTGAAGGCCCCAGATAACAACCATCGCCTACTCCTTGTCCTTCTTCAAGTTCTTCCCACAAGCGAAAATTACGGGGAACTCCTGTGGAGACCGCCATCTTCCCCTGCAGCTCGACGCACGCACGCACGCACGCACGCACGCACGCACGCACGCACCCACGCACGCGCCGTGGCACGCACGCACGCACTTACGTACGTCCGGAGCCTCACTTTTTAAGGCTCATTATTTCCGTTCCCTCCAAGAAGGAATATTTTAGAATAACAGTAGGAACTTATTTTCTGATCTTTAATTAATGGAAAGGAAAGAGAGGGCTACTGATCCTTCGAGGTGTAAAACAAATTTTTCTTTTTTTTTTTTTTTGAGACGGAGTTTCGCTCTTGTTGCCCAGGCTGGAGTGCAATGGCGCGATCTCGGCTCACCGCAACCTCCGCCTCCTGGGTTCAGGCAATTCTCCTGCCTCAGCCTCCTGAGTAGCTGGGATTACAGGCACGGGCCACCATGCCCAGCTAATTTTTTGTATTTTTAGTAGAGACGGGGTTTCACTATGTTGACCAGGATGGTCTCGATCTCTCGACCTCGTGATCCACCCGCCTCGGCCTCCCAAAGTGCTGGGATTACCGGCGTGAGCCACCGCGCCCGGCCCTTTCTTTTTTTTTTTTTTTTGAGATGGAGTTTCGCTCTTGTTACCAGGCAACAAGATCACACAATGGTGCGTTCCTGGCTCACCGCAACCTCTGCGTCGTGGGTTCAAGCAATTCACCAGCCTCAGCTACCCAGGTAGCTGGGATTACAGGCATGTGCCACCAAGCCCAGCTAATTTTGTATTTTTAGTACTGACAGGGTTCCTCCATGTTGGTCAGGCTGCTCTAGAGCGCCTGACCTCTGGTGATCCACCCGCTTCAGTCTCCCAGAATGCTGGTATTATAGGCACGAGCCACCATGTCCGGCACAAATTTGTTTTTCATATATAAGGTTCACTTTTCATTACAAATATCCTCCTGTGTCTTAAAAATAAGGCACAGCTATCACAGAAAAAGTAAATACCTTAATCCAAGATAACTTAAGTCTCTAAAAACTTAGAGAAGAAATTTATTTTAGGCATTTCATTAAAATGTCTAAAGGCCAAACATAAAAGTAATTAAAAGTTCCTTTTAGTTTTTAAATCCTCTATAAAATCTGATGCCTAAATACTCTCCTATAAACAAAACGAAACAAACACCCCACTTACCTGCCTCTTGATGACAATCTGGACACAAATCCAAAGGCTAATGCTAAAGGCAAAGCCCAAGTAAATGTAAAACCTGTTTATCCATAGTGATATCAAAGGTGAGGAGAGGTCCCATGTATCCATAGAAGGATCTAAATTTAAAATGACAGACACAGGTAATTTTACTTAAAGCTACACATAGAAAGATATGCATCTCAATTTTAATAAGAAAATAAAACCAACCCTACATTGAACAACCCAGCTAAGAAATCTATTTTTAAAATCAACTATTGGCTGGGCGCAGTGGCTTACGCTTGTAATCCCAGCACTTCAGGTGCCCGAGCCTGGCGGATCACCTGAGGTCATGAGTTCGAGCCCAGCCTCGCCAACATGGTGAAACCCCCTCCCCACACTAAAAATCAAAAATTAGCCGGGCGTGGTGGCGTGTGCCTGTAATCCCATCTACTCGGGAGGCTCAGGCAGAAGTGCTTGAACCCGGGAGGCGGAGGCTGCAGTGAGCCGAGACGGCGCCACTGCACTCCAGCCTGGGGGAAAGAGAAAGGCTCCATCTGGGGGAGGTGGGAATCACCGAATAAAAATAACACACCATGTAGTAACGTGATAAAATTATCATACTGTTAATACTAACTCAAAGAACCACCGGAATATAAAACTGTATCTTCACTTCGTAATGAGCATTTAGGAGCAAGAGCAGGGAATGTAAAGTCAAAACACTTCCTGTGGAATTGAGTTAAATTTTGTTTTGTTGTGCTTGCTCCATAAAAAAAGGCTTCAGTAGTAAAAGTGCTGTGTTTACTAACGCTGCTTTCAAAGGCTCACGGTTACGGGCGCAAAAGTTCTAATACAAGTGGGTCAGGTGGGAGGGATTTCGTCTTCATTCAGGGTTCCTCCTAAAGTAGCCCGCTAGCCCCAAAAGGCAAAAGCCAGGTAGAAAGCAGGGATCCGTCCTCCGCGCTCTCGGCGGCGCCCATCCGCGGCTGTCAAGCGTAACAAGGTCCGAAGGAAGGGGACCCAGGACGCCACGCGGCCCGGAGGGAGTCTCAGGAAACGGGTCTCCTCCCCGGCCGCCTCGGGGTCCCTGCTCGCCGGGGGCCCTTACCCATCGTCCTCAGAGCAGACGGGAGGCTGGGCTCTCGGACCTGGAAAGCCCGGTGTTCCGCCTGGGCCCCGCGAGACAGCGGGCGCGACCTCGCTCAGCGGCCGCTCGCGGAGCTGGGGGCAGCCATGACACCGGCGGGCCGGCCCCGATCGGGTCAGAGGGCTGAGAGGCGGCCCCGAGGAAGGCCCGGCGCGCTCCCGGACCTGCTCCGATTGGCTCAGAGCGAAAGGGGGCGTGTCGAGAAAGGAGCACCGCCCAGAGTTCCGGGCGACGGAGCAGGAGCGCTTCCGGCTCCGTTTGGATTGGCTCACACTGGGAAGGGGCGGGTCCACAGAGAAATGATTGGCATGGGAAAACAAAAAGAGGAAAGGAGCGGGGAGCCGGGGGATGGCTACGTGGCGGGTTCGGGTCTCGGTTGGAACAAGCGGACTGCAGAAAGGCGTTATTTTTGGGAAGCCTGAAGGTGGACTCGCCATTAGATGATACTAAGGAATTGCACTTCATCTCGTTGGCTGTGCCTATTAAGGGATGTAGGCTCAAGTATTTAACGCCGAAACCACGTGATGGTTTCTTTAAAATACCCGCAACAGGCCTGCCGGGTGGCTCACCCCTGTGATGCCAGCACTTTGGGACGCCGAAGCGGGAGGATCCCTTGAACCCAGGAGTTCGAGACCAGCCGAGCAACATAGCGAGACTTAGTCTGTACAAAATAATTGTTTTAAAGTATTTAATTAAGTTAGCTGGGCGCGGTCCCTCCCACTTGCAGACCCAGCTAGCTGGGAAGCTGTCGCTGGAGACGCCTCCAGCCCAGGTGGTCAAAGCTGCCGGCGGCCATGACCCTGCCACTGCACTCCAGCCTGGGTGACACAGACACTGACAAAAAAAAAAAAAAAAAAAAGTGTTGGCCGGGCGCGGTGGCTCACGCCTGTAATCCCAGCACTTTGGGAGGCCGAGGCGGGTGGATCACGAGGTCAAGAGATCGAGACCATCCTGGTCAACATGGTGAAACCCCGTCTTTACTAAAAAAATACAAAAAATGAGCTGGGCATGGTGGCGCGTGCCTGTAATCCCAGCTACTCAGGAGGCTGAGGCAGGAGAATCGCCTGAACCCAGGAGGCGGAGGTTGCGGTGAGCCGAGATAGCGCCATTGCACTCCAGCCTGGGTAACAAGAGTGAAACTCCGTCTCCAAAAAAAAAAAAAAAAAAAAAAAGTGTAAATAAAAATCCAACCAAAAAAATGAGAAAGGAATAAAACAGAAGTGGCAAAATGATAATTTGTTGAAGCGGGGCGCCGGGTACGTGGAGGGTTCATTACACTTTTTTGTCCACATTTAATGTTAAAATAATTGGTTGTGGTGTTGTCTGCGTGTTGGTTGGTTTTTCTTTTTGAGACGGAGCCTTGCTGCGTCGCCCAGGCTGTAATGCAGTGGGGCCCTCTCGGCTCCCTGCAGCCTCCGCCGTCCGGGTTCGAGCGATTCTGCCGCCTCCGCCGTCCTCGCAGCTGGGATTGCAGGTGCCGCCGCCACGCCCGCTGATGTTTTGTATTTCTTTTTTTTTTTTTTTTTTTTTTTTTTTTTTTTTTGAGACGGAGTTTCGCTCTTGTTACCCGGGCTGGAGTGCAATGGCGCGATCTCGGCTCACCGCAACCTCCGCCTCCTGGGCTCAGGCAATTCTCCTGCCTCAGCCTCCTGAGTAGCTGGGATTACAGGCACGCACCACCATGCCCAGCTAATTTTTTCGTATTTTTAGTAGAGACGGGGTTTCACCATGTTGACCAGGATGGTCTCGATCTCTCGACCTCGTGATCCACCCGCCTCGGCCTCCCAAAGTGCTGGGATTACAGGCTTGAGCCACCGCGCCCGGCCGATGTTTTGTATTTCTTAGTGGAGACGGGGGTTTCACTGTGTTGCCAGGCTGGTCTCGAACTCCCGAACTCAGGCAAGCCTCCCAAAGTGCTGGATTGCAAACATTTTTCTATTATAAAAGGGTAAGTAAATAAAAATATTTCATTTATTATAAAATACTTCTATTATAAAAAATGTTTCTATCACAAATTGGCTGTGGCCCTTGAATTCCGCGGAACGATTCGGTGCCAAGGCTGCGTTTCAACCCGGTCACTAAACATCGGCGAGCATCCTGTCAGAGCTCTCAGCTCATTGGCGAACGTAAATTACGCCAAGGAAGCACAGTTCCTTTTCGGGCGTGGAAAGAGGGCGTCAAAAGCCACACTGCGCAGGCGCCATCGCTCACTTTTCCCCGCCCGGCTTCCGCCCCGCCTGACGCCCGCCCCGCCTGACGCCCGCCCCGCCTGACGCCCGCCCCGCCTGACGCCCGCCCCGCCTGACGCCCGCCGGATAAAGCAGCCGGGCGCACTGTGGCGGCTGCCAGAAGCCAGGGAGAAGCCAGGGAGAAGCCAGGGAGAAGCCAGGGAGAAGCCAGGGAGAAGCCAGGGAGAAGCCCGGGAGTCGCGGCGCAGCGGCGGGTGGGTCGGCGCGAGCGTACCCTGGTCCGCCGGCTCCTGGGTCTCTGAACAGCCGCGATGTCGATCTTCACCCCCACCAACCAGATCCGCCTCACCAACGTGGCGGTGGTGCGGATGAAGCGCGCCGGGAAGCGCTTCGAAATCGCCTGCTACAAGAACAAGGTGGTCGGCTGGCGGAGCGGCGTGTGAGTAGCCCCCTCGCTTGGGCCTGGACCCGTCGCCTCCGAGGCGGCCCGTCTCTGCCCTCGTCGAGCCAACGGCCAGGCTGGGGTCTTGGCGGGGGAGGACGCGGAGAACGTTGCTGCCGCGGTCACGGCCGGCGCCGCCGGTTCCTTCTCTGTTGGGCGGGTTCGGACCGGGTTGCGGGTTGGAGTGTGGTTTCGCTGGCGTCATAAAAGCTACAGCCAAGAAACCTCGTAGTTACGGTGCTTTGCCCAGAATGATGGTGGCCGAGACCCCGTCCTGTAAATACTGTCCCAGTTGTGCTGCGTCTGGTGTCCCAGATCTCAGCCCTGGCGGTTTCACGGAAGTGCGTAGTGTCTTCACTGCGGCCCTCTAGGGACTGGCATTCCCTGGCAGCAGCCGTCCACACCCCACCCCACCCTGGTGTTTCTTAGGACCTCCCAGGACGTATTTCTCCGGTGAGCAAATGGTGAGGTCCATACGGTTCTGAGTTTTGAAAATGTGCTCTCTGGCCGAGGCGGGCAGATCACCTGAGGTCTGGCGTTCGAGACCAGCCTGGCCAGCATGGTGTAACCCGGTGTCTACTAAAAGTACGAAATTAGCCGGGTGTGGTGGCGCACGCCTGCAATCCCAGCTTCTCGGGAAGCTGAGGCAAGAGAATCCCTTGAACCTGGGAGGCGAAGGTTGCAGTGAGCCCACATAGGGCTGTTGCACTCCAGCTTGTGCAAAAACTCCTCCGTCTTGGGGGGAGTGGGGGAGAGAAAAAAAATGAAGAAAATGTTCCATCGGGGGATTTGTTGTGTCTTACGGATTATGTTGTTGCCGTCTTGTATTTAAATGTAAATGCATGTCCACGTTTCAAGTATATTCACATAGGACTCTCTCTCCTGCTCTCAAGGGAAAAAGACCTTGATGAAGTTCTGCAGACGCACTCGGTGTTTGTGAATGTTTCTAAAGGTCAGGTTGCAAAGAAGGAACATCTCATCAGTGCGTTTGGAACAGATGACCAAACTGAAATCTGTAAGCAGGTGGGTAACAGCTGCAGCCTAACTAACCCTAATAGCCATTTATAACATGCTTAGGTTGTATTAAACATTAAAGACTTTTTTTGGAGGGAAGAAAAACAGAGCAATAATGTGAGCTATACAGTGTCACTTCTGATAATAAAGAACATGGGTTTTGTCAAAACCTGAAATCAAATTTTCTACTAAATTACCTCATTTTTCTAGTATAGAATTTTGTATACCTGAAAACTGAATTTGTTTTCAAGTATTTCATCTTTCAGACCGTTTTGAGATTGCCTTTTCCCCTTACCCAACCCAGTCCTCAGTAAGAGAAATTTGGGAGCACAACAAAATCTCTTGCCTTTTTTTTTTTTTTGGACACATGCTTGCTTTGTCACCCAGGCTGAAGTGCAGTGGTGCAATCTCGGCTCACTAAAACCCCTCCCTCCCGGGTTCAAGCGATTCTTCTGCCTCAGCCTCCCGAATAGCTGGGCTTAAAGGTGCCCACCACCATGCCCAGCTAATTTTTGTATTTTTTGTAGAGATGGGGTTTTACCATGTTGGCCAGGCTGGTCTCAAACTCCTGACTTCAGATGATACGCCTACCCTGTCCTCTCAAAGTGCGGGGATTACAGGCGTGAGCCACCGCACTTAGCCGAAAGATTCTTCTGTCTTTTGCGCAAAGCTCAAACCATTACTTACGTATTAGTAGCTGGAAAGGATGAACCTTAATTTTCTCCCAAGTCACCCATTTTTTGTGGTTAGATAACAAATAGTGTGTGATACGGAAAGATAGTGATTTCTTAAATGTGTTGATTTTTTTTAGATCTTGACTAAAGGAGAGGTTCAAGTCTCAGATAAAGAAAGACACACACAACTGGAGCAGATGTTTAGGGACATTGCAACTATTGTGGCAGACAAATGTGTGAATCCAGAAACAAAAAGACCATACACCGTGATCCTCATCGAGAGGGCCATGAAGGACATTCACTATTCAGTGAAAACCAACAAGAGTACAAAACAGCAGGTGAGTGCTTTCTCATGTCATCAAAACATGTCCCTGGAAATCAGTTTTCTCTGAAGAAATCATTAAAACAATGGGCTGGGCAAGATGGTTCACACCCATAATCCTAGCACTTTGGGAAGCTGAGATGGGAGGATTGCCTGAGGCTGGGAGCTCCAGACGGGCCTGGGAAACATAGTGACAGCCCAGCTCTAGTTTTTATTTTTTGTTTGAGACAGAGTCTCACTCTGCTGCCTGGCCTGGAACGCAATAGCGCGATCTTAGCTCACCTCGCCCATTGTATGGAAAAAAACACATTTTGTTTGTTCATTTATCAGTTGGTAGACATTGGTTTCCTTTCACTTTTGAGCTATCATGAAAAATGCTACTATAAGATTTGTTCCATGTCTTTGTGTAGACATATGTTTTCGTTTCTGTATACCTGGGAACTTCCAAACCTTCTTCCAAAACAGCTGCACCATTTGACATTACCA